GTTGCTCGCATTTGGAAGCTGAGGTATCAGTGAGGTGTGGTTAGCTGGTGGCTGTTTCTCTGATCTCTCTCAGGCTTTAAGCCCTATATCCGGCTTTTTTACTTTTTTTTTTTTTTTTTTTTTTTTATTTAATAAGACTGTTTAGAAATTTGTCTATAGTTCTCTCCTGTTTTGTAGGTGACTGTATGGAATTTGATAAGTGATTAACAATACTTTCATGGTATAATGCAGGACAATTTCACCACCCTACAAATCCTCTGTACTTTGTTCAAGACCATGCCAGTGACATTTTCATTTTCTTCAGAGTTTTGCCTTTTATGTGGTCATAAACTCATGTCATACAATAGGAATCATGGAATATATAGGTATTTTAGAGTGGCTAATTCCCTTTAAAGATACGCTGTTGGGGAATATTATTTTTAGGTCTGTTACTTTTGCTTATGCTATGGAACAGTTGTCTAATGATGCAAAGATGTGTTGCATTTTCTTTGTTACATTTGTTTAACTTGGTGAAGCTGTGTTACTTTGCCTGTCTGTAACACCTGATTGGTTTAATAAAAAGTTGAGTGGGCAATAACAAGGCAGGAGAAAGTATAGGTGGAGCTGGCAGACATAGAGAATAAATAAGAGGTGAAAAGGGGGTTGAGAAGAAGAGAGAATCAAGGAGAGAGAAAAGAAGGGACCAGTCACCCAGCCACATAGCCAGACATGGAATAAAATGGAAAGAGAAGATATACAGATATAGAGAAAGGTAAAAAAGCCCAGAGGCAAAAGGTAGATGGGATAATTTAAGAAATGCTGACAAGAAACAAGCCAAGCTAAGGGCAGACATTTATAAGCAAGAATTAAGTCCCCATTTGGGGGCTTGATGGTGGATCCCCCAAAGAGCCTAAAGAGTAAAAGTGTAAAAACAACCAACTACAATATGCAATTAAGGTTCCTCCATGTCCCTGTATATTCTAAAAAGTATGGTGTTCTCAGTGCTTATCTTTTTTTTTTTTTTTTTTTTTGAGACAAGGTTTCCCTGTGTAGCCCTGCCTGTCCTGGAACTTACTTTGTAAAACAGGCTGGTCTTGAACTCAAAGAGATTCACTTGCCTCTGCTCCTGAGTACTGATATTACAGGTGTGTGCCACCATACCCAGCCCTAGTGCTTATCATTTATTCAGGTTTGGGACAACCCCTTCTTGTGCATCCACTTAAATACATTTGGTGTCGATTCTTCAAACCCATCTTTGCCCTTTTGAGCACATCTTTCTAGTATACCATCCTACACTGAAATTGTCATTGCCTTCATCCTTCTTATAAAATGCAGTTTCATCTTGATTCATTGTGATGGATTCCATCCCTCTGGTCATGTTATCATCCCTTTACCCTTGTCTGTTGAAAATTTGGCCTCAGATAAGCACTCATCAGAAAGCCTGCCAAGGCTTAGGAAGAACCACACCTCAGCTGTGAACAGCTTTAGGAAGGGAGCCGAACTCCCATTCTATGAAAATGACTTATGTAAATCTCAAAGCAAATGATACTACATATATTTACTTTCATATTTTTTTCTTTCAGATTCTGGGTTTTAATTGTTACTTCAAACTATTCCTCCTGGTGGATTCAAGGTTTCTGCTCTTATGCATTCAACATCTTTAGGATGCATCTGTTGCTCGCAATCCGTGTGTTACTGAGCTTGTTGGTGTGTACTTGTTTGTAATAGTGTTTTATGAAGCATTGTATTTCTGAGGCACATGATGTTTGCATTCTCCCTTTGAATTTTATAAACTTGAGACTTTTTCTTTCTCTAGCTTAATCTTAGAATTTGTTGGTTGATTTTCTTAAACTTTAAATAACAACTTTTAGACTTACTGTTATTTTCTAATTTTTTTCCTGTAGTATATTTTATTTTATTTTCCCTTTGCTCTTTATTATTTCCTTACTTTGCTGTCTTTGATTTACTTTGTTTTTCCCTATTGTAGTTCCTTGGGGTATAATGTTAGGGCATTTGTTGGAAACTTTCCTGTCATTTGATGTAGGCTGTTATTGTTCAAATAGTATCTGTTGCATCCCCCTTGGCATCGGCTCACAATTTTTACTCACATTGTTGTTTATCTAGAGAAACTTTGAAATGTTCCTCTTGAATTTTTCCTGTGGTCACTTGATTTATTCTTTCAGTTTACTTAGTTATTTAATTGGCATGTTGTTTATTTTTCACATATTTGTATGTCTTCCAAAATTCCTCATATTTCATAAAATTTTGGTCAAAAACAGTACTTGGGATGGTTTCAGTGCTCTTAAATTTGTTAATAGTTGTTTGTTTCTCAGCATATGGTCTATCCTGAAGAACGTTCTATGTGCACTAAAAGGATTTTGTTACCTACTATTCATGTATGTGAAGAAATATATACATATGAATATATATTCTTTATTAAATTGTTATTTTATTGATTCAAGGACAACATTTAACTATTCAATTATTATTTCCTTTCTTTTTGTTTATTCTTCCATATTTATTACAATGTTTATGATTTAGAGACTCCCAATATTGAATGAATGTATTTATTTGTAATTGTTATGTGCTTTTTTTTTGTTTTTTTGTTTTTTTGGTTTTTTTTGTTTTTCGAGACAGGATTTCTCTGTGTAGTTTTGGTGCCTGTCCTGGATCTTGCTCTGTAGACCAGGCTGGCCTTGAACTCACAGAGATCTGCCTGGCTCTGCCTCCCGAGTGCTGGGATTAAAGGCATGCACCACCACCACCTGGCATGTGCTTATCTTAAAGCAATCCATTTATCAACAATCTTATTTTATGTCTGTTGGCTGCTATATCCATGGTATATCAGCTTCCATCCCTTACCTTTCAGCTTAAATATGTCCTCTAGGCTAAAGTCAATCTTATTACTTAGGGCTGATCTATTTGGTCTGTGTCTTCTGATTGGACAACTTAGCCATGAACATGCAAAAATAATAATAATCGGTTTGATGGTTAACTTTGACTATCAATTTAAAATGGCTTCACTGAAGTATAATTTTATACAGTATATGAAACTCATTTGAAATGCAGAATTTGGTGAATTTTGAAATATAATTTGCTATTATCATTCTGATGGTATAGTTTCCACTAACTCTCCTCCATTTATTTATAAGTTCCATATACATCACACATTAATAAATGCTTATTCATCACTTAAAGATAGAGATATGTTCTAATAAATACATTGAAAGACAATTTTGATTGTGTGAACATGATAGAATTTCTTACATAAGCTAAGGTATCTTCAATGTCACCAGGCAACATGATTTTATGCAATTACCCTTCTTAAGGGTTCCTCATTAAACAAGTTGTTATGTGGTGCATGACTCTGTTTAAATAAAATATAAACATAATAAAGGCAATGAAATCACAGAAATACCAAGTTGATATTCTATATCAGTGACACAAATCTATCCCTCTACCTCCAACTTATACCAAAGGCAAGCGTTCATCTTCTTTCTACAACTGTACATTACATTGGGTTCCCCAGAATTTGTATAAATATAGTCATGTAGCATACACTGTTTTTCTCTTTTACCAAAGTCAGCATAGTTCTCTTGAAGATCATCCATGCCCTTGTCAACACTTGTTATGGTAAGTCATTTCAATTTTAATTGTTTCTTGATGTGTGTAGCTGTATATATGACTTCTAAATTTAAATTGTGTACTAACTTATTTTAAAAATCAATTAGTAATTGAAATTTAATCGAGAAAATGGATAAAAACATTAACTAAATTTACACAGATAATGTATTATTTTAACACCACAACAGAGACACATTATGTCCTGAAATTCTTTTGTGCTCAAGTGCTACTCTCAACCCATAATTTTTGGCAATCAGTGACCTCTCTATCTGCATTGTTTTCCCTTTGACATGTGACACACTTGAAGCAAACAGTACGTGAACCTTAGGGTCTCATTTCTACCATTTTGTAAAGGTGAATTTGAGAGCATTAGTTGTATATAGAAATAATTGGTTATTTTCTAGTTAGTATTTTACTGAGTGTTATTCCAAGACACATGTGAATCATGGAATCTTTATCCATCCAATGACTGAAGAACATGTTAAAAATCCAGGTTTAGAAATTTAAATTAGAGTTTGAAAATTATAATCAATGTAAACAGAAACATTCATATTTTTATATAAGTGTATATTTTCATTCCCCAAGGGGAAATTACTAAAAGTGAGGTGCATATACCATGTGCAGATGTTTGTTCCATCTTATAAGAAACTGAAATCATACTCAAAACTAGACACATTATTTTGAATTCTCCATTGCTGCAGTGTGTGAATGTGTGGTTTCCTCCACACTCTCATGTAGGACTACTTTGATTTTCATTTGCTTCCAATGATCAATATTATAGGCATCTGTTCATATTTTTACCAGTGAACTACAGATCTCCTTTGTAAAATGTGTCATTTCTAATGTTTTGCTCATGATAGTTTTATTTTCTTACTTGTCAATACTGAGGTTTACTTATATTTGTAATTTCAAGTCATGGGTCATACACAGCTTGCATACTTTTTTCCCCATAGTCAAGCTGTCCCTTATGTCAATAGTGTGACTATAAAATACATATTTCTAATTTCAATGAACTTAAGTCGATCAATTATTGTACTTTCATATTTTGTGTCTTTGATATTATATCTAAAATCTCTCTACCTCACTAAATATTCAAACTTATTTTTGTTTCCTAGAGAATTTTATCATACTTTGGTCTGTCTTTACATTTTTAGTGAAGCATATGTAGTTTGAAGCTTGGTGAATATTTGCCTTCATGAATGTGTGAAAATCTATCTTCCGTTTTATTTTGTTGCTTTTATATCTTTGTAAATGCTTCTTTTTATTTAATGTGAGTTGATGAGTTAGAAAACTTTAGTATAGGCAATTACATATCTATGTCTGTCATTTATCTTACGTTCTTCAACTTTGTTAGTTTATGTATCACTTCTTTTGTATAAATTTCACTAGACTTTCTACATAGTTGCTTTTTTCTTAAGAGAGAGATAATTTGAAATCTTTAGAAATTTGTGTGTTATCTCTTGGGTTATTTCACTGATTTATTTGTCTAGAACCTTCAATGCAATGCCCATTAGAAGTGAGAACAGATGTCTATATCTTATTCAGATCTCAAAGAGAAAAACATCAGTTTTCACATTAAGAGGTTCATTAATTTTTTTTCAATGAATGCCCAGTGTCAAAGATATTGCTCTCTTTTTTTAGTCCCTTGGACTCAGCTGTTTTTTATGCTGCTGCTGAGGAAGATATTACATTATTGGTCCTTCTGTAATTGGTTCATATGAACAATCATGCTGATTGGATGTGGAACATCAAACCATACAGTCCTTGCACTAATTGCCAATTATTACATTTGATTTCCAAAATTTTTCAGAATTTTGTATTTATTTATAAGTAATATTAGTTGTTGTGTTTTCCTCTCCCTGTAGTGTATTTATTCATAGAAGAGTAACACTGGCTTTCTGGGAGATTTGGGGATATTCCCTCTTTCTCAGTTCTATAAAATATGATTTCTGTAGGTAGGAAAATATCAGAAAACAAATAGGTATTAGGTAAACTATACCTGTTCTCTTCATCTTCCCACACTGAACAATCAAATCACAAAGGCAGTGCCAACAGTCTGTACGTCATGGAGGACAATAAATTCCACGTCAGAAGTCAGTGCTAATAAAGGTGAGACACAAAGTAAATTTTCGTAATTATATTTTCTTTTTTAACTATACAAATAAAATAAATTCAAGACAGCATTTCCCCCCAGGAGGCAGTTCAGGACTTCTAAGATCCAACATGAACTGACAAGGAATGTTTCAGAATCCCCCAAAGTCAGGTTGGTTTGTTGTTCCCAGCCGTTATGGGCCACAGAGAAGCAATTCCAGCATTGTTAGTTAACATAGAATGAAGAACAGAAAACAGACAGGAATTCATTTGTCTTTCACTACGGCCT